TGTAGACCTGCAGACCCACAGACCCGCAGACCTGCAGACCCACAGACCTGTAGACCTGCAGACCCATAGACCTGCAGACCTACAGACCCGCAGACCCACAGACCTGCAGACCCACAGACCTGCAGACCTGCAGACCCACAGACCTGTAGACCTGCAGACCCACAGACCCGCAGACCTGCAGACCCACAGACCTGTAGACCTGCAGACCCATAGACCTGCAGACCCACAGACCTGCAGACCTGCAGACCTGCAGACCCACAGACCTGTAGACCTGCAGACCCACAGACCCGCAGACCTGCAGACCCACAGACCTGTAGACCTGCAGACCCATAGACCTGCAGACCTGCAGACCTGCAGACCCACAGACCTGTAGACCTGGCCCACTTCATGACACATGTAAAGTTTTCTGGTTTACAACCAGCAGGTGTGAAAAGTGTAAATGTGAGTTAAACATCAGAAGCGGTCTGGAACCAAAGCGGACCGTGTGAAGTCCTGAAGGAGTCGTTAGCTGTTAGTGAAGAACAAACATGCAGAACAACAGTTTTTATCAATAAACAGCTGATGAAGAAAAAACTGTTAGAAGAAGAAAAGATGATTGAAACTGTGAGGGACAAAGATTCAGTGAAGGTTAGAGAAGAGACGTGTCCTGTCGGGGACAAAAAGTCCACCGTCCTCCAGGAGGAACCAAACACACCAACACCTCGTCATGATGAAGCACGGAGGAGGAGGAGGAGGAGGAGGGTTTCAGTCGACCTTCATCTTTGTTTTTACTGAACAATAAAATCTGAAGGAAGGTGGACTTTGTCCCCCAGGACCTCCTGAGGACTGAGTCTGAGACTCACAGGTCTGCAGCCTGAAGCAGGGGGGTTAGAAGCTCGGACCAGGGACCAGCTGGTTCTGGTTCTGGGTTAGAAGACGTGGACAGAGACAGAGTCCGGTCTTGGTTCTGACTGACCCGGCGGGCTGGGCTGCGGCCCCTGGAGTCTCTGAGGGGGCTCCTGCTGGGACTCTCCTGCCGCATCACTACCGGCTCAGAGTACTCCGGTTCCGGGACGCAGGTGATGCGGACTCGGGGGACGTGGAGGTTGTCCCTGGGGGGGCTGTCGTGGGCGGGGTAAGAGNGAACATTGGTTTTAGACTGGTCTGGTTGTCCTTACTCAGAGGTGCTACATTTAACTTTTAATTTATTTAAAATAAAATATAAATTAATGTTTTAACTCTTGTTAAAAAATAAGTGTTTGTTTATATATTTATGAGGTTCTATTCCTAAATAGGTAGGGGAATTTAAAAAGGAAAAACTTGGGTACTCAACAGGATAAAACTGGGGAGCCACTGGGGTGGCCAGCTTATTCTCAGGGGCGTCCATGGCCCCCGCTGCCCCCCACCCCCCCTGCTGGCGCCCCTGGACTAGGGACGCACCATACAGTATATCGGCATTAACATCGGTATCGGTCTGATGAGTAAAACATTATCAACAACCGATGATGATTTCCAGCTTGTTGCTGTTTGTGTTTCTGTCATGAGCAGGGAATGGCTGGTGGAGTGGTATCTGTTTGATTATGATGGTGATAAGTGATGCTGCCCAGTAAGGATCAGAGCTGTAAAGCAACTAAGTACAAATACTTTGTTACTGTACTTAAGTAGATTTTTGGGTATCTGTACTTTACTTAAGTAATTATTTTTCAGCCTACTTTTTACTTTTACTCCTTACATTTTTACACAATTATCTGTACTTTCTACTTCTTACATTTATTTTAAAAGACAAGAAGTAGAAAGTCCTTTCTCCTATTTTGTTTTGGCTTGTTAGTGTTAAAAAATATTATCCTAAAAAACGGTGCATCCAGGATGGAGTGAATTTAACTGTAGTTGGATGAGAAGTATAAATGAGAAGTCTGCTCTGATTACTCTATTGAACTGGCGTACATATGTTTTATATATTTTGTTATATACTTTTGCTTTATCCTTTGTGTTTTCTTTATTTGTCATATTTTATACTTATTGTAGCTTTACACCAAGGCAAATTCATTGTCTGTGAATCCTGTTGATTGACAACAGCAATAAAACTGATTCTGATTTTAAATCTATACCATTCTGATACTGTTATTAATTTGTACACAGTCCATCATAGCTGCACGTTTTTAGAAAAAATATTTTTTGGAGAGGTCACCTCCCAATAAATGTATTTTGGAAAATCTAACCGCTCATTTTTACTCAATACTTTTACTTTAAACACTTGAGTATATTTTATGTCAGAAATTTACTTCTGATACTTAAGTACAAAAATAATCTGAAACTTTAAGACTTTTACTCAAGTAATATTCTCAGAGGAGACTTTAACTTTTGCCAAAGTAATTTTATGATAATATACTTGTATTTTTACTTAAGTATCACTTTGAGGTACTTTATAAAACACTGGTTTTAGTTAAATGTGATAACTTTGAACTAAACAGAAAGCATCAGGTGAGTTTAGGACGGACGATGTTCTGCTGAGACCCTGTCAAAGGTCAGAGGTCAGCCCACCCGTTGASTGACGTACCAACAGAGGTGGGCATCTCGCCCCACTGCAGCACCACGTCTTTGGTGATGCGTCCGTAGGTGTTGACGTAGACGCCTTCGTCCTCGTAGCACAGCAGCATCTCCATGCCGTCCGTCTTGGGCAGAACCACGATGGCGTGTGGGGTCACCTGACCCTGGATCTGTTAGTGTGACACACGGGGGGGGGGGGGGGTGAGAAGGTGCTGAGAGAGGAAACTGCTGCAACCATAAATTCCCCCACTCCTCCAGCCATGCAGTCACCATGGAAACAGACATGAGCACAGGCTGATTCATGACCGCCAACAGCAAGGWGAGGCGGTTGCTATGGTTACCGCCTCCTTCCTCCATCCATCAGTGACTGTAACTAAACCAGGGTTGGAGAAGGACATGGGCTCCACCTGCTKCATCACTTCTTCAAACTTTAAATTCACTCGTTCACCCACACGATGATGACATTCCTTTAACAAACTCCCTGATTATTCACCTGATATCGCACAATATTTCACCACATCCATCTATTCCCATTCAATATTTATAATTTTATTAATATAGTTCCCACTCTTACTTTAAAAAATTCAGTCATTTTCCTTTCTCTTCTTTTTGAATTAATTATTTCCAGCCGTACTCGTCTACATGCTGAGTGTTTAATTCCATTCATTCACAGAATAACTCATTCACTTCACTACTTAAAAACTCACATTTAATCAAGCGGATTTAAATTAAATTATCCATCTATAACCTAGATTATCATTACAGCAGATCTCCTTAATGAGCCGGTCCTCATAATGTAAGGAGTTACTAAATAAAAAAAGAAAAGAAAAAAATTCTACCTAGATTACTGAGATGCATCAGAATCACTAAATTATTTCATGCATGTTTCCACATGTCAAACTTATTTCTTGRTTAAGTTGTTACCTTAATATTTATCTAGTTTAAAACACTGGAAAAGGCCCTCATAATAAAAAAGGTCCCCATAAGGGAGCTGATGRATATAGGTCCCCAAAATGAAGATATACCAGAACACAAACACACACATGTTAACACAATCGTGTGTGTGTGTGTATGTGTGTGTGTTTGTAGAGTGAAGAGAGCTCTAGATACTTCCTACTTTCAAAGTTTTTGCAATAATTTTTAATTAGTTTGCAGTGTTGAGACAGGTCCTCATGATACAAAGGTCCCCATAAGGCAGGTAATAAACAAATGTCTCAAAAATGCAGCTTTACTGGAACACAAACACACACACATCAACACAGTCTTACATGTGAGGGGATGTAAATGTCATAAGTGTTTCCAGAGTCCACATCGATGACYTGGAAACCAACACTGGAGCCGTAGATGACCTTTAACCTCTGGCCCTCCTCCACGGTCAGGTCTACGAGCTGAGGACGATGCTGCAGATCTGTGAAAGACTGGAGATAAAAAAAAGATTCAGCTGATGAAACAAAGCCTCACAGACCACCAGTTATAATGTTAAACTGTGTTTTTCATATATTAAAACATGAAGCTGTCTTGTTAGCTCTTATTMTCTGTAATACAAAAACGTTTAGTTTTTTTATGTTACCTTAAAGGCCATAAACTTGTGATAAGGTTTAGGTGCCCAAGCGTAGATTTCAACTGAGTTCTTTAAAGCAATCACCAAGAATTTAATCCTCTCATATTTCACTGCAGAACAACACAAAAATCAGTTAGAGATAAACACAAACATTCTCACTGTCGATTTTCTGTGTTAAAATGAAAATAAAAGGTGTTGTAGAAGGTTATTTTGCTGACAACYCACCAACTTTGTAGTGCACGCAGCCCTCCAGATCTCCCACTGTGATCCAGCCCTGTTTCTTCTCCACTTCTGGGTCGTTGTGTAATATCCTGTTCCTCAGCCAAGACAGGTAGTAAACTCGCAGCTTATTCTTCTTCCCTGGTTGAGAAAATGCAYGAAAAAAAACAACATCTCCTCAAAACAATATCACACTTATTATCACGGTTGTGTAAGAGTGAGGTGTTAGATTTCAGAAACTTAAGAGTTTCATTTGATGAAGAGAAGCTGAGCTGCTCAGTCTGCTGCTGCCCCCACGACTCCACTGGATTAGAGTCTGATTTTATTAAAGCAGAGAAGAAAACTACAAAATAACCCAGACAGAAGAATAATATTGAAGTATTGCAGATTGCCTGCTGATATTAATGCTTGAGTTTTAAATGAAAATCTCTATAAATGTAAATCAAAAAGTACTTTTTATGCATCAAAACAAAATATTTTATTGTTTTTAAATCTAAACAAACCAAATGATGAGATTTAACGTGGTAAATTTCTTTATAGCCACAGTTCATAGAAGCGCTATGGGCGTAATTTGGGAGGGGATTAGGGGGATTATGACCCCCACAATAATTTGATCTATTCAATATAACCCCCTCAATAAAATTGCAWAATTTGCTCCAACGCAATATAAATGGACTGCATAGCACCAGGGAAATACATATGTTTGGAAAATTAAGAAATTTTGCATAATACACCCTAAAAGTGTAAAATAATTTTTATTAATTTCCTTTAAAAAGAAAACAATTTTTATACACAAAACAAAACAAATTTACATACAACAAAAATTACAAATCAAATAAAATGAGAGGTAGCAGAAGAAAAAAACTAATTATAAAAAAAGTATCTAATCCTATTTTTCAAAAATAAATAATAATAACAAACCATAAAATCCAATGATAGAAACAAATCAAAGCAAAACAAAAACTTCAATTCCTCAAACAGTAATACCTATAAATACACATTATACAATCTTATATATCTCCAACAAACCCAGCCTTCCCAGGTGAAAAAATTTTATACTAAGTATACCAAATCTAAGTATAATTTAGTTTACTTGAAGTCGCGCTAATCATCAGTATACTTAAAAAGTGCTATTTTGGAACAACTAATTTAATACTAAAGATACTTTAGTTGTATTTAAGTTGTACAAAAGCACAKTTTTAAGTGTATTAAGTATACTTTTAAATACAAAAATGGAACAACTTCAAATATACTTAGTACACTTTAAGTAAATAGACAAAACTATACAGGTCATGGTTTTATTACTATTACTAAAATATTTGTTACTGTTGGAAAAAATGGGGAAATCTTTTTTTCTTAATTGCTGAATGGATTTGGAACATAAAAGGTGCAGAGTGAATACAAAGAAAACATGAAAGTTTAGTAAATCACGGTAAAATCATTACGATGTAATTTAACCCCAAAATATCCTGAACTGTTTTACAAAGTAAATGATTTAATTAATAAATAAAAGTCTTGAAATTTGCCCTTTAGGGAGTAAATATGATGAGCTGTGGGATGCACTGACCTGAGATGGTGACCAGGACGTTGAGGCCCTCCAGGACGTCCATCTGCTGGAAGCGCCTTCGGTTGATCAGGTTGTAGACTTTGCCCTGGCCGCTTCTGTCCAGCAGCATCAGGCCGTTCTCTGTCCCCACCAGCAGGTTCACGCCTGCAAACACAAATGTCTGGTTTCCTGGAGCCACAGGGGGATTTATATAACACTGAGCTGTGGTTTCTGTCCCCTCACCCCACAGAGCTGCACACAGGATCTCCGAGTTGAAACGCTTCTTGTACTTTCGGATCTCGGGCGTGTCGCTGTGCGGACGGATGTTGGTTGGGTTCACGTTGACCACCGAGAMCTTCCGGGCCTCATTGAGCCTGGCCTCCTCCTGCTCCTGCTTCAGGAGCTCATCGGCGAACAGCGCTGCGGGACAACAATCCAATGATTCAGAATGAATACAGCTTTTTGTTTACATCCTTCTGAAAGTGAACTCCTCATTGATGCAGTGTTAAAACAGGTCCTCATAATACATAGGTCCCCATAAGGGAGGTGATATATACAGGTCCCCACAATAAAGATTTACCAGAACACATGTTAATGCTGTCGCGTGTGTAGAGGGCAGGGGGCTCTAGATACCTCCTACTTTCAAAGTTTTTGCATTAATACTTAATTAGTTTGCAGTATTAAGACAGATCCTCATGATAAAAAGGTCCCCGTAAGGCAGGTAATAAACAAAACGTCTCGACATTGCAGTTTTACCAGAACACAAACACACACAAACACACACAAACACACACACACACACATCAATTTCTGAAAGTGAACTCCTCACTGATGAGGACCAGAGAGACCTGCAGTCGTGCTTTTATCGTCCTCATCTGTCGGAGAAGTCCCGTAAACTCTCGGATCCACGAAGGGAGTGAAGGAAGCTTTGGACCCTCCGCTGCCTCCCATCCCGAACTGTGGAAAGAAAACCATGACATTGTCAGGTTGCTGGTCAGGGGGAGCAGGGACGTCATGGATCAGAGGCTGCAGAGCTGAAATCAGGACAAAATGTTTCCCTTCAGTCTTTCAGGAAGACTCTGGATCTGAGGCCGGCAGATTCAAACAGGAAGGCATGAAAAGCAGGTAAACGTGTAACTGCCTGTGTCTGAGTGTTTGGAAGGTGACACGGTGGAGCAGCGGTTAGAGCCGTTGCCTCACAATGAGTAGGTCACAGGTTTGTTTTCCCGTTCTCCCCATCTTATCTTAGTTATTGCCAGATGTTAGAATATTTTACTAACAGACCAATAAGCACAGACACAGGTAATTACAACACCTGCGTTTTCTGGCAGCAGGTGAGAAAATAAGAACAGGTCCTGGATTTAAAGCATCGATTCTCATATTTGAGTTTATTATTGTTCTATTCTTTCGTCAGGTTGAGTTTAAAGCACCAAGCTGTTGGCGGGGGCGGGGTTTGCAGACAGGTGACAGGGTGAGGAGAGGAGGAGGAGGCGGGGGTAACGGGTCCGTCAGGTTCAGGTAAGGCGAGGGGGGAGGGTTGCAGGTTTTCAGGGGACCAGTGGCTCCACCTACTTGGACCCCAGAGGCGTCCCCGGGGGAGGCCAGAGGGGAGGGGCTCTGTTGCACCAAATCTGGGAGATTGGTGTTGCCGAGGAATGAACTAGCGTTGCCAGGGAAACCGTTGCTGGCAGCAGAGCTCCGCCTCCGTCCCCTATGCCTCTGGAAGTAGAGAGAAAAGGGGCGGGGCTAATGTGCAGTGAGGCTTTGATTGACAGGTCAGGTTTAGCATACTGTATTATGAAAATGCTTTTTGTGTCACTTATTTATGATTACACCACATATGGCGGTTAAAGATTCATCTCAGTTTATTTTCATTTATTTATAAGTCACAATAAATAATGTTTTGGGAGTTCAAACAAAATAAAACAAATATTTAAAATAAAATCATTTAAAGCCATTCAGTCACAGAAACTAAACTCTTATAGTATCATAAATATAAATTAACACAAATTCAAATACAGTGGACGTGTTTACACAAGAAATGAAAAGGTTTCTATAATTACATTTTTTGTCAAAATAAAAAGTTAAGTTTTGATCAATTTAACATGTGTTTAAAATGAAATAATACAAATAGGGAAGTAAATAAATAAAAAATATTTTAAAAAGTTTTTATTTATACCAAATTTAAAGTTCTAATATTAAGACCCTAAGACATTTATTTTTGTCTGTTTTGTTGCATTTATTGAAACAATGACTTTATTGAGCCATTTATTTATTTCTGTATTCATTTTTAACTTTGACGCTTCTGGTCTTCTATATATTTGTGAAATTTTAACGTTTAGTGACTTTTTTCATGATGTTAAACATTTTTCTGATTGTACAGTTTGTAATTTTTAGTTTGTTAATTAAAAGTTATTCAGTATAAAACACTTTTCATTAAAGAACATTTAAGGACAACTCATTAAAATTGAGTTTATTACTCAATATTAAATCATTTATGAAAAAAGTTGATCCAAATAACAATTTTTATTAAATTAAAGTAAAATCATGAAGATTTGAAAACATCTGAAGAGTCTTTATCAAACTGTTTTTCCTAAAAATAAAGAAAAATGAAATAAATCAACTGTTGTTGATTAAAATAATCGGCTTTGAAGAACAAAACAATCATTTTGTCCTGTTTGTGTTTCAACAGAACCTCTGGACGTCCAGTTTTCTGGAGCCAGCAGGATTTTACTCGTCAAAGGTCAGAAGTCAAAGGTCAGAGGGCGTGTCTCACCTCTCGCATCATCATGGTGCTGTCCTGGGAGTTTTCTCCGTACGAGTCATCGTGGGCATCGTTGTGGCCGCCCATCACGCCGAACGACTCGTTCGCACTCTGACTCGCCGGAGGCCTGAGAGACAAAAACATCAAATAAAACTTTATTTATTTACCTGCAGACAAACTCCTGGTTGTTTGTGTTTTAGCAACATTGTGATTTGTTTCGGGGCTAAAGCTGAAGAGACTGAGCTCACATGATGCGCGGTATGTCGCTGACGGCCACCGTTCCATCGTTGGCACCGCCCTCTCCCTCCTCATCCTCGCTGCTGTGCGAATCCTCGCTGGATGAAGAGTAGTCGGTCACTTTGACGGGCGGGCGGCTCGTCTCCTCCCCCTGACGCAGCTCCCTCAGCTCTTTGGCCAGAGCTGTCAGGTCCTGCAGGACCAACAAGCTGCCGTTAGGACTTCAAAATAAAACTATCCAGGTTGTTTTTACCAAAATAAAAGCCTGAAGAGATGGCTGGGCTGCAGAAGATCCAGGGATTTAAAAAAACTGAAGCAGAAACCAAGTGAAAGGAAAAAATGAGACAACATGCAGGTTTTTAGTAAAATATTCAAATGTTCATCATGAGGAGGGTGGCAAGCAGGAGAGTTAAAGGTCAAAGGTCAAACATGGAGCAGCCACAGGTCAACAGACCCGGGTCTGTGATGGGTCCGATTGTTCACCATCTGAAGCTTTTAGAAGATAAATCTTTATAAAGACTTGTTTTAAATCTAAATTAAACTTTAACAAGTTTAATGTCACTAATTTTGTTTAGTTATTTGTCTTTAAATAAAATAAGAACTAATGAATTTAATGTGAAAACATTTTAATTCAGTTGTTTCAGATATAATATATAATCCAAACTTTTTAATTTGTTGAAAAAAATA